CTTCCCAGTACTGCTCTCCAGGCTATTTACTGCCAGCGTGGTCGCTCTTTCTTCATTTCCTCTGCCAGTGGGCCCTCAATCATCCCCAACAGACCTTTAGGGTCTCTAGGCCCAACCCCAAACTCTGTTTTCTGTTATCTACGCCCCTGCTTAGTGATTTAATCCACGACTTTAAGCCACCATACCTTTATACACACACATACATATTCTGTCCCCTCTATGACTCTCAGTATCAGATACCTCATAGGCTACTCAAATAGAATTCTTTCTCCCCTCCACCCCAAATTGATTTCTCCTTCAATTTCTACTGTTTCAGGCAATAGCACTAACATCCGTTCAGTTGTTCATGTCCCAAATCTGGGAGCCAACTCCTTTCTCACTCCCACATCCAACCCATCCTGCCATCCTTATCTCTCACCCAGACCACAGGATCAGCTTCAGTCTCCCTGCTTCCATTCTTGCCCAGCAGCCAGAAATGTTAAAACAAAATAGATTATGTTGCTACCTCACACAAAATCCTTCAAAAGCGTCCTGCTAATTCCTAACGAGAAGTAGAGAGCCCCTTTTAGTACTCTGGACATATCACTCTTCTCATGGCCCTACCTTCACACATGCTGCCGCTTAAGCTGAAAGGGTCATTCCACACTATCATCAACTTATTCGTCAGGTCTCAGTTTCAATATCACACTTTTTTTTTTTTGCAAGATTTTTTTTTTTTTTTGGCCGGGGCTGGGTTTGAACCCGCCACCTCTGGTATATGGGGCCAGCGCCCTATTCCTTTGAGCCACAGGCACCACCCCAATGTCACATTTTTTGAAAAAGGCTTTCCCAAAATCCAAATCAAACTAAGTTCTATTATATCCTTATAAACACTGTTTACTTTTCTTTTGAAGAAATAAAATACACTGCAACTGTGCTGTTTGTCCAACTATTTGGTTAATGTCTAGGCAGAGGCTCTATCTGTTTTACCAATCCCCACATCATCCCACAGTGCCACAACCACGTGGTCAACACCTAAGATAACTCCTTCCCAATAAATATTTAATAAACGCAGACTTCATGTAGCCTGGTCCTAGAATGGCTACGCGATATATAGCAAGAACCAAAGATACTACTACCTCCCTACAGGTGGACATTTAGGCAAAATACTTTTTAAAAAGTCACAGTGATGGATAATAAAAGGAATTCCAGTAGAAAGAAGACAATCTAGAGACCTTTTGCCTAACAACCTCCTGGAACATTTTCCTTTTACTTCTTTTGTTCTTCCACAGATCCCAGCAAAAAGTTAGACCCAGGTGGATAATAAACCATTCAGTGGACCAAAGTAGAGTACATGACAATCAATTCAATGTCAGAATTAAATGTCATAGAAATTCCATTACAATTCAATATTGAGAAGCAACAGAGAAGATCTCAGGGAGGTGGAAGTCAATCTTGATGGGATGAGGGACAACTTTCAGGGGATCTACCCAACCCATGTAATCACCGTCTCTCTGCCTACCCCTCCTTCAACAGTGGTGTACAGCCGTATCTGTATTACTTAACATCACACAAATTTCTTGAATCCATCAGTTAAAATTCTAAGCAAAATTATCTTTACTATATGGCTATTAGTTAACCCAATGAAACAGTGACCATGAAGAATATGAGCAGTAGAAGGTAAAAAACTACAAAGAATTCATCATACTACCTTTTGCATAAATGAAATCCTGAACATTTTATATACATTCATCTAATAATTCAGGAAACAAGAGAAGCTAAAGTTGAGATCTTTGGCCAGGTGCAGCGGCTCATGCTTGCAATCCTAGCACTCTGGGAGGCCGAGGTGGGTGGATTGCCTGAGCTCAGGAGTTTGAGACCAGCCTGAACAAAAGCAAGACCCCACACACACCCCTTTGCTACTAAAAATAAAAATAGAAAAAAATAATAATAAAGTTGAGATCCTAGAGTTTAACTCTGTAAGAGGGCACTCAACACGGCCATTTATTTTTATAGCTCTTTTTTCCTAATTCTCACAATAATTCTGAAAGTTAAGGCAGAGAGGCTGGCGACTTCAACTAGCATACTGCTAGCAACACAGGGTTCTGTTTTTTAGACAACTAAACCAAAATGCCAAAAACAATACACACACGCACGCACACACACATACACACAGAGATCCTAAGTGTTGGAGAACTCGAAGTGCTTTGTTATTGAATTGAAAATAACAAAAATTTCCCTAGGAAGCATATTAAGTTCAAGATATATATCCTTCGGTTTGAAGTTGTTCTAATCCTTAGGGGTAAACACAAAGTGCTCTACTGCCAAACTACTTTGATGAGATGAATCTAAAATATCTCTGTATTTTTAATAGTAAAAGGAAAGGAAAATGACCAATTCCCTATATACCTTAGTCTACAAAGATTTTTAAGTTTGAAAAAGGAAAAAAGGACTAGAAACTCCCAGAGTAATAAATAAAAGAAGTGTTTCAGAAATTGTTTTGCTTCTGATATGACAAAATACCACAATGAAATAACAGTAGTATTATCTAAAGCTAAATGATGTCAGGCTTTTAAACAATCAATAAGCTGTAAGGGTTGAACCTCTGCAATTATTCCAAACTGTGAATGTTACATTATCAAACACTGGGACAAGCACAGTCTTGTATGAAACCACTGTATGAGATCAAATAATCATATCCAAAAGGAATGACATACTTATTGGATTTAAACTTTTCCACTCTGATCATTTCAAACCTGTGTGGTACCAACTCCTTGCATTCATAAACTTCAATCAGTGTAGTTACCACACACTTGTAAAAGGAGAGTTCAAGTAATCTCAACTCATAAAAAGGTTAAGCATTAATCCAATCTCAAAAGCATCAGTTATCTCAAAATAACAATTTTGAACAATGAAGAAACACAAGTGTTACGTGACCATAAAAAAATAGAATTACAAAAATCAATGAGTTTATAGGAGTGGTTTTCTGTTTACAAAGTATAATGGCATATGCAAAGACCCCAGAAAGTCTTTCTAGACAACCTCCATAGAAAAACCAATTCTCCTGTTTCTTTTTTAAGACTCACCATCTCTCCCTAAGATTTCTGATGTAGCCCTTTCCCAAAGGGTTTACACTGCAAAAACATGGATTTATTCCTCATTAGTACAGTGGTTTTATTTTTTTAATGGATTTATGCCATTTTCAGGAGCATGTCCCAAGACTTAAGATTTCTACGATCTTTTGCATATTCAAGATTGCAAGAATTGAACTTCAATAATTCATAGATCACAAACACACCCTGCTAATATTTTCCTTCAAACACCAATATTCCTACTCTTGGTATCCCTAATGTAGATAAGCCACAAAACACAATCTTTAAAAAGACACAGATGGTAGGGTCTCTCCACCCTCTCCCAACGGACACCTAAGCCTGCACAATCCCTTCTCTGGGGCCCACAAAGACAACTGTCATTCAGAGGGATTGTAACTGTTCAGCGTGGGTGAGAAAGAAAGCATATGTAAGTGCATGGTGCAGGTTGTTAAATGTAGTCTCTCCAGTATCACGTAACTAGCCAAGCCCGCTGCAAACTTTTAAGAGATTAAGTTACATTCTTCTGCAATTCCACCCTTGACAGCTGAGTGCAGAGATGCCAGCCAGTCGTGCACGTCCACTCCCGCCACCTCACCCGGGGAGAGTGGGCTGCCACATCCCGCGATCAGCCCGCAGCAGGGGCTGGGGAAGAAGGGGAGGAGGCTGGGCGAGCTCACCTTTTCCAGCTCGTCGTGGAGCTCGGCCAGGCTGGGCCGAAGCAGTTTCTCGCCCAGCTGCGCGGCTGTGTGCCGGTAGTGGTCGATCCTGGGCACAGCGTCCATGGTGTTGTGGCCGAAGGTGCGCAGGTAATAGGTGTTGGTGTGGGTATCATAGTAGTAGTGCTGGTGGTGCCCACTGCTGCCGCCGCCGCCCGAGTGCAGGCTACTGCCCTCGCTCAGCACTGTGTCCCCGCCGTTCTGGAAGCTCACGTTGGGCCCGTCGCCTCCGATCCCCGCCGCATCCGAAAGGCTGTCCTCCGCAGACGAGGAGGCAGCAGGGTCCACGAAGTTCACACGGAAGCGGCCCTTGGCTTCCTCGCTCCCCTTCGCCGGCCCGCCTTCGCCACTGACTTTCGCCTCCTTCGCCGCCTTCTCCGCCCCCGCCGCCGCCGCCGCCGCCGCGGCCCGCCCGGCGTTCTCGGAAACCAGGTCCACCTGGAAGCGGCTCTGGCTCGGGGTGGGCCCCAAGGGTCTGCCCAGCCCGTCCCCGGCCGCCGCGGCAACCTCGCTGCGGACCCCGCTGGCGTCTCGGCTTGCGGCCGCAGCATCCTCTGGCACCGAGGGCACCGCAGTGCCGGGCAGGTCTAACCCGGCGGGGGCCAGAGCGGCGGCCGGTGGAGTCTCCCCGACCCCGGCCGACCTCTGGGCGCCGGAGGAGGGCGCCGCGGGCCCAGGCTCCATCGCTGCCAGACCCCTGGCGGACCCGAAGTGCCTGGCGGACGTCTCGGGCTGCACGCCCTCCGCGCCCCTAGCCGGTGATGGCCGCGTCCACTGGGCCAGGTGAGGGAGTCACGGTCCTCACCGCCGCTCGCCAGAGCCGGCACAAACGCCGCCGCCAGCCGAGTCGGAGCGCGAGTGCGCCGGGCGCGGCGCGGGCCCCGCTGTTTAAAGCCTCGGCGGGGCCGCAGCGGCGGCGGCTCCGGCTGCAGCACGCGGGAGGCGGGGCCGGCCGCTCCTCCGCCCCTCAGCCCGCCCACCCGCGGTCCTGTCGCGGCGCGCGGCGGGCGCTCCCTGGGCGCTCCGGCCCTCCCGGGCTCCGCGGCCCCGCGCAAGAGCGGCCCACGCGAGGATCGAGTCCGGCCCGCCCGCGCCGGGCCTCGGGCAGAGCGGGCAGCACCAGCAACGCGGTCAGGGAGCAGGCTTGGCCGCGCGCCGCCTCACTGATGTCGCCGGGAGGATCGCCGCGCCGCTACCTCCTCTTCCGTCGCCCTCCTCCCACCGCGCCACCTCCCTCCCCCCGCAGCGCTCTGCGGCGAAGAGGAGCGGGCTCCGACCGCCTTCCCCTCGCTCCGCCTGGGGCCGCGCGTCAATGGACCGACCGGCCAGGCCACGCGGCTGCGGACCGCTCGCGGGCCCTGCATCAGCTCACGCCGGCAGCTGATGCTCCCGCGGCAGCTGCCACCCCTTCCGCTGCTTCAGGGACTCCCGCCTGCTGGCTTCTTCGCTTTTTTTTTTTTTTAAGTTCTGAACTCGCAGTTATTGGGCCGAGCCGGCGAGATCTCGCGAGATGCTGCAGAGCGTCAGGGCGGCTTCCCCCTAGACGCCTGGTACCCGAGGCCGGGCTGGAGCTGCAGCCACCCCTGTGCCTGCCGGTGCTGCCGGGGGTCTTCCGTCCCGGCCGCCGGCGCGCTGCGCCCCCCACCAGCCACGGTCTGTGCAGGCCCCGGCCCGCCGCGACTTCCCGCTCTTACTCGGGGCCTGAGCTTGCTGGGAGGCAGGATTTCCTCCGTGCCGCCTTTTTTTTTTTTTTTTTTTCGTGGTAGACTCACCCTGCGAAGCACAGTGAGATTTGTATACCTAGAGATTAGTTCCAGTGGCGATGCAGTGGGTGTGTCCACACTTCCGATAACACTCTTAAAAGCTCAGGTTTGAAGGTGCGGAGGGAGGTATCTCATTGTTCCAAGACCACATTTTTAATTTGGGACATTGCCAAAAATGATATGAAGCTCAGCTCTCAGAATACAGTGACAGTAGTCACTGAGCATTTACCGGGAAGCTTCTGGATGATTTGGAGTGCGAAGAATTCCTCTGTTTTAATAGAAACGGAAAGGTACTCCTCTCCTCTGAAATTTCTCTTCTGTAAAATGTAAGGGGATATAACTATTTTCCAGTTTCCCTCGCAGCAGAGCTCCTCCCCCCTTTTTTTAACCAAAATTCTGCCCAAAGCCCTAAGTAAAATTAGTGAATGACAACGGCAACGAATGGCTTCCTTCAATCACTTGTTCTTTATTTATATTTCTGTCTTTTTAAATTTTATTTTAGGACCTAAACACCATCCTTTGCTGAACCCTGGAAGCACGATTAAAGAGCCTCAGAGTTTGCAGAACTGTTTGAAAATGCTGTAGGTAAAAGCTGCAGCCAGGCAATTTTCAAAAATGCCATGGCCATCTTGTTTTACTTTGACAACTTTTTAGCTCATTTTATTATCTGCTTTAAAGATGGAGGGAGGAGGAACAGCTCTTGAATCATGTTGCTCTTAACCCCCCTTTGAGCTTTAGTAACATTAGCAGAAAACCAGAAGAGGCCGGAAAACATCAGGAAATCCTTTAATGCAGTTTTCTACTGGGGAATTGTGCACTAGTCGTTGATCTGTGGGGTCCCTTTTAGCCTCCAAAGGTAATTTGGCAGCTGTTGGAATCAACATTCATTTAATTGAATACATGTTGAGAACCTTCTCATGGATACATGAGAAACAGACCATCCTTTATCTTGTGGAACTCATTCTAGTGAAATAGACAAGATAAATAGATAAAATATATAGTATCTAAGTAGTGAGTGCTAAAGAAATGGGACTGGGATACGTGTGTGAGAAGAGGATGATAAAATTTTCCATAAGATGACTTTACTAGGAAGGCAACATTTGAGTGAAAAGGTGAATGTTGCAAATACTTGGGAAAACAGTGTTCCCAGCAGAGGAAAAACAAAGGCCCGAAGGTGGGAGGGTGCCTAGGACACTCAAGGAATTGCCTGTTCACCAGTTTGGCTGGAGCTGAGTAAGAACTGGGCATGTGAGAGTGCCTGTCGTCCTGGCTATTTGGGCGGCTGAGGCAAGAGGATCCCTTGAACCCAGGAGTTTGAGATTTCTGTGAACTAGGCTGAGCCTGTGCCACGCTGACCTGTGCAACAGAGTAAGACAGACTGTATTTAAAAAAAAAAAGTATAGTCACATTAAGGAGGGGGCTTCAACTTAGAAATTTTGTGGGAGGCACAATTCAGTCCATAGCAGATGGCAAGTCTTTGGCAGTTCTCAGTGGAAAAATGACATGATCTGGCATATTTCAAGGGTCCATCTAACTATCTTGTAAATAGACAAGGGAGGAAGCTATAGAGGCAAAAAAAGAAGCAGGCAGATAAGAGGTATTTCAACAATCCAGGAAATGGTGACGTGTGGCTTTGACCACAATGGATAGCAATGGAAATGGAAAAGTGGTTGAATTTGGGGGCGGCAATAAAATTTGCTGATGGATATATGGTGTGAAAGAAGGAAAATTCAAGGTTTTTGGCTTAAACAACTAGAAGAATGGCATTGCTCTTCTCTAGGGTGGAGGAGATGATGAAGGGAACAGGTTTGGTAGGATGAATATCAAAAGCTAGTCTGAGGTCTTTGCTAGAGGAAACACACATGTATAGTAACAATAAGCAGTCATCACTCCAAAACATGTGTGATTGCAAACTGAGAAGTTCTGGAGGAACATGGTACAATGAAAATTCAAAATTGTGAGAGTAGACTTAAGAAGGCAGTGACTCCACCAGAGGTCTGAAGGACAATTATGACCAAAGTACAACTGTCAGGGTCATTCAAACAAGGGAAATATTGTGGACAGAAACCTTCATGGAACGAACAGGAACTATCCATGGATCTTGAAGTCAGTTTCATTAAAGCATAGGAATTATGGAGCAAGAATAGTAAAGAGATGAGTCAGTCGGTATTCTAAAAGCCCTGTACAACCATTAATAGGTTTCCACAAAGACAGGGACACATGATTAGATTTGTATTTATTTTTATTTTATTTTATTTTTTTGAGACAAGAGTCTGACTTGATCACCATTGGTAGAATGCTGGGGCATCTTAGGTCGCAGCCACCTCAAACTCTTGGGTTCAAGCTATTCTCTTGCCTCAGCCTCCCAGGTAGCTGGGACTACAGGCACCTGCCACAACACCCAGCTATTTTTTAGAGATGAGGTCTCCCTCATGCTCACGCTGGTCTCAAACTGTGACCTCAGGCAATCCACCTGCCTCAGCCTCCCAAGTGCTGGGATTACAGGCCAGTGAACTACTGCGCCCGGCCAGATTTGCATTTATTAAAACTCTAGTTACATTGAGCAGAAGAGTGAAGAAGAGACAGAGTCAGCATGGGAAGGCAGGACACAATTTCACTAATCTAGTCATAATAATAACAATAATAGCTTACATTTATAGAGAATTTATGCCCTGAATACTGTGCTAAACTCCATACCAGGGGTCCTCAAACTTTTTAAAGAGGGGACCAGTTCGCTGTCCCTCAGACCATTGGAAGGCGGGACTGCGGTCCTGAGGCAAGTTGGCTGCTAAGCAGGACAGGCAGCGGCAGCGGTGGCAAAAACATCCAGCAGGCCAGATAAATATCCTAGGCAGGCTGTAGTTTGAGGACACCTGCCTGTACGTTAATCTTAATTCTCTGTGCAGTGCCCATAGCTCAGTGGATAGGGCGCCGGCCACATACACTGAGGCTGGTGGGTTCGAACCAGACCCAGGCCAACAATGACAAGTACAACCAAAAAATAGCTGGGGAGTTGTGGTGGGGGCCTGTAGTCCCAGCTGCGTGGGAGGCTGAGGCAAGAGAATCGCTTAAGCCCAAGAGTTTGAGGTTGCTGTGAGCTGTGATGCCGTGGCACTCTATCCAGGGCAACAGCTTGAGACTCTGTCTCAGTAAATAAATAAATAATAATCTTAATTCTCATAGCAATGCTATGAAGAAAATCAAAGGATTACCCTCATTTTGCAGATGAAAACCTTGGTCAAGTAAAAAAATAATTCCAGCATCTGGTAATGACTAAATAGAAAACCTACAGATACAAAGAAAGGTCTAAGAAATGAGAAAAAAAACGGAAGAACGTGTTTTAAAGTGGGATTAGCAGTGTTAAATTGGGCCAAAAGGCAGGGAAAGGTGAGAGTTGAATATATATTGAATTTAGTAACGTATTAACCAACAAAATGACAGTGCCATGGGGGAGGGGAAAGCAGAGGTTCCAGGAGATACAATCAGAACATATATGTGAAACTTGTAGAAACATTGTAAGGAGAGGTCTCCATTAGTTAATTGTTCGTAGACATTTGGTGGTCACATTTACTAGGTGTCAGTGTCTTGAGAACAGACTCATTGTCAATGCCACAGTGGACTGTCTCACTTATTTTGCTCTATTTCCCCTTTTGCCAAAAAGTCAACCTTTGAAAATATTTATACGGATGTACTTGGTAATGTGTTTTTGATGTACTTAGAATTTTAGGACTGGAGAAGACTTAAGTAGCTGTTGCTCCAAACTTCTCATTTCACAAATGCCAGATGATCTCAAAGGGACCAACAGCTCCCTGTATCTGCAGCATTAGAACATGTAAGGAGCAAAGCCATGTAGAACCTTGACAGTCAGCCCCGCCCCTTTTTTTTTTTCTGTTAAACAGTTTTGAGTTAGACATGTTGGAT